CTCCTCCTCCAGGTCCCCTCTTAGTCCCAGTTTATGCAGAGGACTCACTGGTTCGGGAGGCACCAATGACCAAGGAAACTCCACAGGTAAGAGCCAATCGCAGCCCAGCATCTGGTCGATGGCGTAGCGCTCGGCGGGGACCGTCTTCAAGATGCCCTTGATGAGCCTCTGGCAGGGGCCGGGCACCCAGGGAGGGATGGTGAAGGCGCCTTCGATAATGCTGCGCCGCAGCTTGCCCATGGTGTCTGCGCGGAACGGCATAGTGCCGGTCACCATGAAGAAAAGCAAGACCCCCATGGCCCACACATCTACTGGGGGCCCCAGGTAGCACTCGTCCCTGAAGAGCTCTGGGGCGGCGTAGGGCGGCGAGCCACAGAAGGTGTCAAGGGCATCGTTGCGGTTTGAAACCCGCGTGCTGAATCCAAAGTCGGCCACCTTCACGCAGCTGGTGCTGGTGAACAGAACGTTCTCCGCCTTCAGGTCCCGGTGAATGATGTTGATGTTATGCTGCACAGTGAAACATACGAGCTGGTTAGATATTTCTAAATATCAAACAAATCTTAAATGATAGATTTTCTGTGGGACTCTTCATTATAACCTGGATTTTTAATTTTACAGCCATTTCTACTGATTATGATAACCTTATACCTGGTCTTGTCGGGACATCACAGCTCTATAGTTGTGATTAATTATAACTAACCCTTCCTGCCTATTTTGGAACCTCAGTCAATGTTGCTATATTAGAAGGAACATAACATTTTGAATGAAGTTAGCTAATATTAGCAAAATGCTAGCTAAATAGCTAGCTAGATAGTTATCTAGCTAACATTAGCTAGTAGATGTAACTACCTAGGTAACGATTAGTGTCGAGAGCAAAACGCAAGCTACCTAGCCAATTAGCCACCCAACTATCTAGCTAATGATTGATGTAGATTAGCTAGCTAGCTAGTGGACGTTGTGCTAACATTAGCTAACTTAAAGGTACAGTGTGTAGGATTTAGTGGCATCTAGAGGTGTAAAACGCCCCTATCTAGAAACATTGTGGTTCCAAATGGCGGATCCCATGGCAGTTTATTGATATAAACGTCTCATTCTAACGTAACAAAAACACAATTATTCTTATATTCAGGTGATTATACACTAATGAAAATTAAAATAGTTATGCATATGATATTCCATTTTTGCCAATAAATCCTCATAAATGTCACACACTGGACCTTTAAGATATGTCATTTTTATCATCTTCAGCCTAGCACATAGCATATCTAAGCACAGGAAAGGAGAAAGTTGTTATAATTGGATTTGGGCTGGATAGATATTTTGAAGCCATTTTGTTTATAGTTAACTGCATCAAAGTGAATAATCTGACAAACTCTGTTATTAAGACTCATTTCTGTTTAAAGCTGATTACCTGCAGCACTTAAGCTGGTACCTAAAATGATCATCTCTGCTACAGAAAAGAAAATTTGCCCTCAAATTCCTAAAAATAATACTAAGATTGATTGGTGTTCCAGTGTTTGTGCTAAACTGTACTACAGACACCCTTGACGGATTAAATTGATACTGATCTTCTTATCTAACTCCCGGTAAAACAGCAGCCAAGCATAATCCCAAACGGTGGAGTCAGGGGTGGATCTAGCGAGGTGCCTCTAATGCCTGGCCACCCCAGCTACCACCCCAGTCTGGTATCGAATACTGTCAAAGGCAACCATTAATTGAAAATATATTTTTTGATAATGTGTAAAAACAGAAATTAACATATATAATTTAACTATTTGTCATGGCCACACACATGGACAAGTGATCGGATTGAAAAAATACATGTATTTGGAAATATGTCTGAAGACCTGAAAATATTTCTTTTTATTGATTTCTAATTCCACCTTTAGATGTTTTCTATTCAATGCTTTACTAATGTGCCACAATAATGTCATGTTTTTGAGTTCAAATCTCTTAATTTGGGGTATTTTCCAAGAGAATATTGATATATTTGATTGTCTCTATGGCACCCTCTGGCAACCCCATGAAACCCCATTCCCTGTTTGGAGTACCCTTCACTGAGAACAACCCAGAAATGTTTCTCTGTCACTAACCATATATTTAATGGCAGAAAGGATCTGTGCGAAGGTGATCTTGCTGGTGTTGTCAGACAGTTTCCCGTCGTTGCAGATCCTGTTGTGGAGGTCTCCTCCTCCTGCGTACTCCAGCACCAGGTACAGCCGGCTCGGCGTCTCCACTACCTCGTACAGTTGGACCACATTGGGGTGCCGGAGCAACTCCATGCTGCTGATCTCCCTGGAGAGCAGACGCTGGGCCTGACTGTCCAACCTGGTCTTATCCAGGATCTTCAGGGCCACTTTGTCTACAAGAAGGACAGATAGAAGGGCAAGCAGACATTACACAACAGTCCAGCTGCTCAGGACTTGCTGAAAGTGGAACAGAAACCACAAATTACCCAACTTATACTGAATGTAATGTCATTTGTAATTGATCAACCATGTAAGTCATTTATTCCGAATTCTTTTTTGCTGTGTAAAGCACAAATTTCTCGTGCCAATTCATCATATGTCATGTCAAGCACACATGCAATGCCCAGTGAGAGAAAAAAGAGAGAATGTAGCCAATGTGTTGTATTGAGATGAATGAAATAAGGCAAGCTTTTAGGGCTGGCTGTGGCTCAGGAGATAGAACAGGTCAACCACTAATCAGAAAGCTAGCGGTTCGATCCTCGGCTTCTCCCTCTGCGTGTCGAAATGTCCTTGGGCAAGAATGGTGTGTGACTGTGTCTGAATGGGATTAGTTAGTTTCTAATGAGCAGTTAGCACCTTGAATGGCAGCCTCTGCCATCAGTGTATGAATGGGTGAATGGGACAGCATTTTGAGTGGCTGGAAGACTAGAAAGGTGCAATATAAGTGTTATCATTAATAGCCTTTGGTGGGAATCGGCCCTTATATATGGCAGCATCCATCCGGTTCAGAAGGGCAAGGTCTGGTCTCAAGGACTTGGCCACAGGCTGGGCTTGTGCAGAACTCTACTAACAAGGGTTAAATCTTTTTCTCTTTTTTTGTCTTTCTCATCCAGTTTAACAGTGTATGACCTCCCTCTGTTGCTCACCCTTTTCCACAAGCTATTTACAAGGTGTTCTGAGTCTCTAAACAGTGACAGCACTTTAATCAAAGGCAAAAGAATTGGGTGGTGTGAGGGACAGATGCAGTCAGTGTACGCCTACCTTTAGTCAGAGCATGGAAGGCCAGTTTGACCCTGGAGAAGGTCCCACAGCCAATCTCCCCACGGACCTTGTAGAAGCCCACCCTGCGGCCTATGATCAGCTCCTTGATGGTATTCTCGTCCTTGCACATGTCGGTGGTGAGCTTCTGCAGGGGGGTGAGGCGCAGCACGCCGTCGGCCTCCTCATCCTCGGGGCCGACATCAGAGCTGTCCGTCAGGCTGTAGATACTGTGGCGGGGTCTGGTGCTCGTCACATGGTACTGGCCTCCAGGCATTTCTGCAGCAGGCCGAAGATAAGGTCATCTTCAAAAACATGATTATGTCATTAAGTTTTTGCCAGCACGTGGTTTGGACATACACTAGTTACTTTCTTTTCATGAAGTTCTTAATAGGATGTTAGAAAACACCAGCTTTACTTTACTGGAAATACCACAGAGCAGTGCTGTAAATATCCATGTAACAGTGGTTTTAAAAGTATCCAGAAAGGGTCAACTCGTGAGACCAAGTGCATTATTCATTGTCAAAAGTAGCTGCAGAATGGGTCTAACCCAATCACAAAATGAGGATGCAAGCATTTGACATCACATGTACATAGTGCAGTCGCGTTTCCTTAATGAAACATCATTTCTCTGATATTCCCTTTAAATGTCCCCTTAACATCATACATAATTATTCTACTGCTTCACTGAAACCGTATGACTTTAGATTTTAATACTTCACCAATATATTTAAAAAAAATCTTAGATGTCTTATGCAACATTATGTTGCCATATTACTGTAACTGTACTAGAGACTAGAATCTTGTAAGCCTACAGTGGCTGCATTAAGAAGGAGAAAGTTAACAACACGGGATAATAGAACTAGAGAGTCTAGAAAACAAGATTGTTGTTTATCCAAGTTTCCATGCTCTGCATCAAAACACACCTGTACAATCCATTGAAAGCAGCAATACAAAAACAAAAGCTGTTCTTTTGGCCCAGTAGGACCCAGAAAACTCATTTTACTTCACTTACATGCTGAGGTCTGTGACAGAATCCAAATATCCATGCAGAAAGTCCTATCCCCGTGAGCAGAGCGGTGCCGTCATAGCCTCCCTTCCCGTCCTCTCTAACTGATGAGAGGATGGCTAAGACCACAGGAGGGGAGGGGGCGCGTGTGTTTGAGCCATCAAGTCAAGTGGACAGGCTTCTCTGGCCACACCTCTTACCGCTCACCTCTCCCCGTCTTCACCCACTCCTCCTTACTGTGGGGCCGAAGGATTAAGGTGGTGTCATGAACTCTAATCCTGTTTCAATTTAGGAACGTCCCAATCCCTTCAAATGACGAACATCAGTGCAGGGTCGGCAAAAATGAGGCCAAAAGGATGCAAGAGACGACACATGCGCACACGTGTGTGTACCTGCAGTATGTATGACCAGAGTGCTTTGGTTTGCAGGTACACAGCAGAACACAATTGTGTGAGAGAAACCGGTAAGGTCGATCTCCTGGCTTTTGTGAAGATGAAATGTTATGCAACGGTCTTACCAAATGTTCCCATAGAGATTAGCTCTCTGTCCCCTTTAGAGGCTGGCTGAGCAGCACAGATAAAGAGATTACAAAGCATGAGGTCAACACTTCACCAGGCGGAGCGTCTTCATTCAGGTGTACTGTACCTGTGAGGAGCAGTGGAGGGACAGCGGGGGAGACACTACGGTCAAAAGACACTAAGACAGTCCTATCTACTTTCTTTTATGTAATGCAAGTGTAGTTTAGTTTAAATTGATCACAGATATATTGGTAGATCAAAATCCAGCATCAACTGGACTCCAGTGCATGCAGGATAAAGAAATCATCATACGTGCTGCAGAATATCACACATTTTGGTATTGAGGGAGAACTGCTCAGGATGATTTTTAAGTCCAGACTGACTGCATTACTATGAATGTTCTCACTGAACGCTCCGCTCTCATTTCAATCAACATAAATAAATTGATTCTTAATTACCTATTCAGGTTTTAGGCTACTGATAAAAGCAGATGTTAGCAGAAGTTTGCTTTTTTAAACAACAATGAGAAGACATTACAAGAAGTCGAGTTCAAGAGCTTCACCTCTCCGAAATGTCAATATTAGAACATGTTTATGTCAAGAAATCTGAAAAAATGAAATAGAAGAGATGAGTTAAATGATTTATTTGGTCTTTGAATAAAAGGTGTAAACAGGTTTAATTCCCTGAATGGGACTAGTACGTCTACACCTCCCCCCTCCCTCTGTCCCTGCCTCGCACACTTGCTCCCATGCAGGCGTGTGATTGGATTAAAGCCTTAGACAGGAATACAACCTGTGTTTAAATGTACACACTGGTCACCTGCAAGCAGGGCAGTGACACTGCACATCTAGCCAAGTAAAACACAATAAGCAGTATGGCTAAATAAATGATCTGTAAAATAAGTCGAAAGCTCTGAGGAACTGAATTTTGCTTTGAAATGAAAGTGAAATACAAATCTGGAAAATTTCAAAACACCTCAGTCCCTTCTGCCCCCTAGGGAGTCAAGACTTTGCACCTGCAGAGCTGACAGGTCAATGGCTAGTTAGCCTCTAAACAAACTAGATCTTTCTTCTCTTCAGACGGCCGTCACTGAAGCCGCAGGGACGCTGGTTCTCTTCCAGCTCTTTGATTCTCTGACGCAGAGCCACAATCTCCTTGTTCTTCTCCTCCTGGAAGAACTGCAGCTTCTGAGGATACAGTTAATCCACACACACAACTAGAAAGAGGCACTATAAACAAGACACACTTCTCAGAACAGAGCGGCACAGCTGACCCATAAAAACACCAAACACTGATGTATTATTTTATTTTTCTTGTGAATGGCTGCATCAGGTAAATTACTGATTTAGTGATTGCTAATTCAATTCCTTTTAAGGCTGGAACTAATTATCATTTTCATTATTTATGAAATGATTTCATTTTTTTAATACACTTAGTGTCTAAAATGTCAGAAAGTGATGAAAAATGCACATCACCATTTCCCATCTTCAAATTGCTACTCAATTCAGAATGATATAAAACAGAGAAAAGCTGCAAATTCTCACATTTGAGAAGCTGGAACCAGAGAATGTTTGACATTTGTTTTAATAAATAATCAGTTATCTGACTCTGAAAACCTGATGCTGCTAACAGTCTTTGGCTAACAACCCTCAACAGAACTGATCTGTGTTCAGACTGTAGGCAAAGTGGTGTTGTCTATATAATGCAGATGCAAAGACCTGAGTTGACACAAACAGACATGAGTTTGCCCCGGGCGACATGTCTGTGAGAGCTGAAATACATCAGCTTTACTGAAATCACTTTCTCTGCACCTTGGTTTTATGAGAAAAGAGGAAATATGGAAGAAAGAACAGAATAAACTGGAGTTTCGGACACACACACACACATGCTGGATGTTTGCGTTGCTAGCTAGCTGCAGCTCAGCATGTTGGCTGTTGCTGGTGAATAAAAACAACATTAAAACACTGCAGTGGTCAGATACATGAGAGTAACATACGGTGAAAATGAAGTCTGATGACATTTTAGACTACTTTCTTTCTCAGACTTTTGTCTTCCAGGCAAATAACAAAGCTAATGGGGCATACTGGGAAGTGATGTGCTTAGACGGTGTGGACTAACAGGAAGAGACATCCAGGTCCAATAATAAGGTCTGCATGCCCAAGGACACAAACTGACAAACCAAAACTCTTGAAGGATCAAACATATGATAGATGTTCCTTCAAAGTTATAGAATGATTACCACTGACATGCGTCTTATACTTTGTTAGTTCACCTCTATAATAAAAAGGCGAGGATGAGTGGGCTGCTCACCCTCTTGAAGACACTCTGCGGTAGAAGGCTGGAGCCATGTTGTTGTTGCTGCTGCTGCTGTTGGCTCATCTGAGCTGTACTCTCAACTCTGGCTAACCTTGCACCAAACTGCCAAAACACACAGAGCAAAACACCAACAAGCTCATAGAGAAGCAAAGCGGAGTTGGACTTCATCTTGAAATAATTTGAGACTTTTGCTCAGAAGAATCACTCCAGCAATACTGTTGGAGGTAAAGTGTAACTTTTAATTTCACCTCCATCTGTAACTTCAGGAGCTCGCTCTGCCTCTCCCTCTCCTGCTCCTTCAGCCTCTTCTTCATCTCCTCCAGATCCAGATCCTTTTCCTCCAACAGCTTCTTTACTTCAGTGTCTTTAGCTTCCACTGTTGGGAAATAAACCAAAAGCAGGCACCAGCCAAATACAGATTCAGCTTTAACATGCTTTGTTTGTTTGTTTTCTCTGTTTTTGTCTTATTCAGTTTCTCCTCTGCTGCTCTGCTCTGACGCTCCGAGCTGAAATCAAGACAATCCTTTTAGGGATCACTGTTATGAAACTCTTTTGATGACGTTTTACTGAGAAATTAAGTAGGAAATGCTCCACACTTTTGCCTACATTGTGTTTTCAAGTGTTGAATGTAAATTTCAGGATATATCTGATTTACTTTAAGATTTTAGGGCTGCAAGGAGGTTATTTTGTACATTTATAAAGTCAGTATTCCCTGAAACATCTTACACCATCAACCCTGTCACTGTCTCAGTGTTTTGTGAGTTCTTACACTGATGAAGCCCCTGCCTGTGAGCCTCCTCCACCTCTCTCCTCCACTGCTGCCTTACAGTCTCTAGCTCCCTCTTGTGTCTCTCTCCTGCTACTCTCATTTCACTGACCAGCCGCTGAACCTCAGCCTCTCCATCCTGATCACAACACACGGGACACACAACATCACTGACCGACGTTGGAGCTGAAACATTTGGAATTGCTACCTGGCTTTAAGGAGAGAACCAACTGATCGTTATGTTTTTTTCTTCAACCCCATAAAACAAATATACAAATCCATGCTGTTCATTTGCATGCTCTACATCTCTAACCACACTCACATAAATAAATAAATAACACAGGAAGCAAAGACTTTAAGGGCTGAAAAACAGTTTGACAAAGAAAAATTTCTTTACTGCTTTAGCTTTGACTGATGATCAGTTGATCAATATAATTAAAAATTGTCTTCACTAGTAGAGCTGCACGATATGGATTTCCCAGCTGGTACAATAATCAATAATTACCTGCTTCTCATGGCCGATACCGATAAGATAACCTATAATTTCACAGTTTTGTATTTTTAAAAACACTTCATATACTGTAGTTTATGCACACCTTTTCTAGTAAAGTTAGTAATAGTAAAGTAATAGAACATAAGGTCTATCAACTGCTGCACATAAGAATTCAAAATAAATGATTATTATTATCAACCGATAGCTACTACTTCACTACCCAACAATGACTGCAGTGCTCAGAAAGCGGACATACAGAGCATCACCTTGTGCACAGACCAGCTTTCAATTAAACCTGCTGATTCATTGTTGTATTCAATTTATTTAATGCTAAATTCTGTCAGTGTCCACTCCTGCCTCACTACTTACCTTTACTGTTCTCTCATTCTGTTGTTTCAGTTCCGCCATATCGTTCTTCAGTCTCTCATTCTCCTCTACAACATGAGCAGTTTCAGAATAATCATATGATGCTTACAGTGAATTTCATCTGTATGTAAGTAACTATGTCAATGGTGCTTTGGTGGTGCGATTATACTTTATATATATATATATATATATATATATATATATGTATAATACTAAATGGATATCACATAATCAACAAAGAAAATACAACATTTTTACTTTAAAGCAACATGAAAAACAACAACAGCAGCAAAAACTATTACATCTAGAGCTTAGTTACTGCAGACCTGTTTTGTGGTAAACATGTGCTATATGAGATCTGAGAAATCAGAGTACTTTCAGTATCCAGAGATTCATTTGTGGTCTTCAAAGAACATGTGTCCAGTGGGTTATTACAGTTACCTCTGAGGCTGCACTGCTCCTGCAGAGTCTGCTGTAGTCTGTCCACAGTGACGAGAAGACTGTTTCTCTCTGCAACATGGATTGTTTTTAACAACTATCGTCATACAGGTCCCACTAAAAGCAACTCAGTGAGGGTTTATACAGCCACGAAAATCTATTTTTTCAGGTATTGCTTAATTTTTAGAAATCTACCTCACACACTATCTGAAACTGAGAGTCATCCAGTACTTTTCCCCATACAAACTAATGTAATACCCAAATAACTGATGATGACCTGCATGGCAATGTGTTACAAATAAGTAGTAATTCTAATAAATCAGCTCATCTGTAAATTTGAACAAATTTAGGAATTTCATTTCCTGAACTGAAAACTGGAGACACCAGGTCAGGAGGACTGTCGTTTGACAAAGTCACCAGCAGAGGGAGACATACCAACACCAAACGAAGCACCATGAGCATCTTAAATCTTGGGAAACAAACGCTCCCGTTTTCAAATGAAAGGACAGAAACTCACCCTCAATCAGACTTTTCTCCTTGGTCAGATAGAATTTCATGAGTCTGTTGGCGTCCTCCAGCATGATCTCCAACATATTGTTTTTGCCATTAACTTCTGTAATTTTCTGTTTGATAAACGTAAAGGCAAGTTATTCTTTATACCACAATGGTCCTCATAGAGGTGGATACAGTCACTCATACACAGTATTGGGCACTTTGATTGTGGAGTCAGGTTTTATTTTATTCCGGTTACTGTTTGTCATTTATGACTTTTCATTGTATGTTGTACGTTTCTTTAGTTTTATGTGACTTTATGTGAGGATGTAATTAAAATCAAACTCTAGACAAATAGTGTGGCAAAAGTAAACAAGTGACTAAGGTTAATCACAGTCCTGGAACATAATCACATAAAAGTGTCTTCTTGGAAACTGTCAGATTATGACTACGGTTACCACTCCCAGAGAACCCCTATAATTAACGTTAACTATATGTAAAGAACATTTCTCTGACTCCTTCTCATCTTTTTAACTCTTTAGCCAGTCTAGCTAATGCTGTGGCAAAAACTGAAGAACAGAAAATCAAATGGAAGATGTCCATAACTATCCATCAGCTAATGCTACCTTACCTCTTCCAGTTGAGTAAACTTCTCCATAAAGTTTTCGAGACTAACACCGTTTAACTTGATCATTTTTATAGTGTAGGGGAGAGCAAACGACTGTAAAATACGGTTTCATTAAAGCTTCACAAACGTCACGTAAAGAAATTAGCCGCTAGCTTGTTAAAGCTAGCTTAGCTCCACTGCACGAGCTGGTAAAAGGCTGTTTATAGCTCGTGCCATACGGCGTATGGCTCGTGCGGAGAAGTTACTCATTCATGTAAATAAGACCAGATGCTGAACCATCTGATGACATTAGAGCACTCAGTAAATCTATTAAATAAGTGATTTAACTGCATTTTCAGGTATTTAGGATAAGCCTTTGTTACACTAAATACTTAATACTCAGCATTTCAGAGCAAAGTGTGTGGACTTTGTATGTAGCATCCTGCAAGGCAGTAATAAGAATTTATATAATAATAAGTTACAAATATTCAAATGTGAATGATCATATGATCTAAAAATATATATATATATATATTTTATTTTAAATATATTGCTATTCTACAACTTTATCTTCTAATTTAGTATTTGACACATTGAGCACAAACTAAATGCAGTCATCTGTGTGCTCTTTGCAGTGTTTTGTAAAGTAGCTGAGATTAATAAAAAGGCAGAGGAAGGCAAAAGTATGAAAGTTGTCTATTTGTAACTTTGTAACACTTTAACACTTACCTGTAATTTGCATTTTATGCACTGCTAACTAGAAGCCAAATTAAAAATAAAAACCTTTATAGTCCATGCACATCCAAAACAATTACTAAAAAACTGACAATCCAAATAATTTTGTACCTCTTGAAATGTTTCACAGTTTCGAACATAAATGAAGAACAGGGTATGTAATGCCATCAAAGTAAGATACACATCTAATATTTTATGATCCTTTAACACACAGCTCATGCTTTATGCATCATGTGTTGGCAACATGATAATATGAACCCCAATAAGGCATTATTCATGAATATTCAAAAAAGCAACGGATTACTGAATGATTAAGTAACATCCATTGCGCCAATATTGGACTTAAAAACCTGAAAAGGACTGAAAACCTCATGGAAAGCATACAAATGTTGGATTCATAACAAAGGACACATGATTAATTTATGTTTATGGACATTTTTCACATAGCATATCAATTACATATGAAACCCTTTGATATGTACAAAATGATAAAAAAAAATATGTGCAAAAAAATTTAAAATGAATAAAGCATGTAACAGTACAATTAAATGTACTCTAACTTTAAGCTGCATTAATCAATATTTTTACATTAATGGTGAATGAAATGACTACATGTAATGTGAAAGGTGGTACTTGTAGTGACAAAATCACAAGGAATTACCACTAAAGGCAGGATTATACAGTGCGTGAGGGACTGCATACATCCAGTTTGTTGTGACCACAAGGACTTGGACTTGTCTGCGAAGCCGCTACGCTAGCAAGTTACGCAAGTCCTTCCAGGGACTCCAGAAAGTGGTATAAACAGAACTACTACGTGTCCGTAGTGTCCACAGCTGTTTATACATGCGTCCATTTGGGAATATAATCCAGGTTTAACGCTGCAGCGTTTTAGCCCTTTAGTTCATAACAATGGCAAAATGAGCGACTGGCTGATATAGAGAGCGGAGCATTTAGCAGCCAGAGTTGATAAAACCAAAGCTTAAAGGAATATTAATATTGAATATTGGACTTGCATTCATCAACAGAAACATGACTTCAAATTAAAGATAGTGTGTCTTTGTCACATGGATTTGTAAATGGCAGAACAGTTTTCCAATTAGCAGTGTCAGTTTGCAGAGATTTTTAGTGACCAGAAATTGATTGATGCAGCTTTAACAGAGATAGTTTTCTAATAAGTAGTGTTGTGGACCTGTTTTTTAGATGAATATTGAGTTTTTGAGGCAGTTTTCAGCCCATTTGAGTCATTTCTCTTTGAAAGGTTCTTTTCCACAACTGCAGTAAAACACATTGTTGTGCGCTCTTCCTCCCTCATACCAAACTTCCAACCATGTCGACTAAACAGCCCTGTTAAAGGTAGCAGTGGGAGAACGGAGGAGGTAGCGGTTGTGGCAGGACAGGCACAGATGCCCCATAACTATTTTAGGAGAGCTGACATTTAACACTCAACCTCAATAGTCAATCTCCCAAACTGTTACCAAGTTTAATTGATTGGATAGTCTTAACTTTGGACAGTTTACCACTGATCTATGGTGTGATGCTTCCCAAAAGGTCAGGGGTCAGGTAGCTGCCTGGTATCGGCATGGTCTTTGGGATTATCAGCTGTGGTGCAGATGTCGAGTTTGGTGTCAATAAGAGGCTATTCTGCCTGTCAACACCATCTACCACGGTGTAGACAGGAGCCGGGGGAAGAGGGGACATGAAGGTGGTATCTGATTTGCTGTTAGGCGAAAGGGTAGCTGAAGAACTCACATCTCCTCCTGTCTGGAAGGGTTCACTCATGTCTCCTGCGGACAATCTTGGGCTCATTTTTCTAGCCTTCAGCTCTGAGGTGTAACCCCCATGATCTGGATTCACAACCAGGAGCTGAAACTCCTTCTTTTCATTTGCCGCCATAATGTCTTTCTCTGCGTCTTTGTTACTTGACTTCTCCACCTCAGTTTGTTCCTCAGGTGTCAGCAGCACCTTGCCTGACGACCTCACCTCACTCACCTGGGTGTACAACACCCCTCTGCCCGGTGCTACAAAAGGAGGCTCCCCAGCGGAAGGGCTCTGGACCGGAGAGCTTGGCTCACAGGCTGTCGGGAACGATGTTTCCCCACTGAGGGTTTGATTTGGGATGAGAGGCTGGAAAGCTGATGCCTCCGGGTCGCTCTGGAGATCTGGGTCGCAGCAGCTGGCCCGGCCCGAGTCGTCGTCTCTGAAGCCGATGGAGAGGGGAGTGCAGGTGGAGGAAAGGGAGCGATGCATGAGACAGTCAGTGTCCAGATCGGTCAGTCTGTCGTTGTGCTCCTCAATGTCCAGATCGATGAACTCCACCCAGGGGTCGTTGTTGTACAGCTCTGGCCTCAGATCATGGGGAGCACCAAGGATGGATGTCAACTCCCTCAGCTTCCCTTTCTGTGAGGTAAAGAAAATAAAAGTTGATACACTAAGGAGACCACATTCAGCTGGCAAATTGGCTCAGCTGCTTCAGGGATAATTCCAGTTTATTACAACTTGGGTCTTTTTTTTTGCAGCCTTGGCCATCTGTCAGTAATATAAAATTGTTCTCATCGAACTGGGAATGCAGTGACATAGCTAAGGCTATGTCAGATGGGTCAAGATAAACAAGCAGGCTGTAAACAAGCCCACAGGTAAGCCAAACTTATTTAGAAGCGAAAACATACTTCCTGATTCAACTTTGCACACAGAGGGATTATTACTGATTATTGTCTGTCTTGGGTGAGCTCACTTTTGGTTTTACCTCAGAAAGAAGTGGTATACCTTGAGTAGTTCTGGGTCAATTCCTCTTATTTTAGGTCCAGGAACAGGAGGCAAAAGAATAACCATCAACCTTGGGGGAAAAAAAGAAAAAAAGTTAAATTTGACATAACACATTTGCGGGACTAACACTATTGTCAAGCTCTGCACCAGAACCAAGGAGGAGTAGTACCAACAATGGCAACCACTAGAGCCGAGATAGACGCTGCTATCGAGGCTTTTATTTTACATAGACGTCAGACTGTATCTTCTCAGTGTCACCTGACAACAGTTTGTTTTACTTCACTCCACTGCATTCTTAAACAACCTGTGTGTAGGATTTAGTGGCATCTAGAGGTGAGATTGGAGATTGCAACCAACTCGCCTCACCCTCCTATTCCATTTGTGTCAAAGAAACTATGGTGGCTGCAAAACTCAGCCAAAATGCGTACGCATTACCCTGTCTAGAGCCAGTGTTTTGTTGGTCCATTTTAGGCTACAACAACCCCAAACCCCAAAAACCCAATGATTCTTATTTTCAGGTGATTAAAAACTAATAAAACATACCTGTGCATATTATATTCCATTTCTGCCAAAATATCTTCCTAAATGTTACACACACACCTCTGGAAAAACCGGCATGTTGCCACGACTACCATCAGTGTCGACTTAAAAGTTGGATCTGGGCGAATAGGTCTCTAGTTAGTTTTAAAAAAAACAAATCCCGCTTGGGCCCTCCCCCACGGGCCCTCCCCGGAAACTGATGAGAGTGGAGGCAATGTCAGACTAAAGATGTTAATGGAGTGTCACAAGTTGACAGCTGTCTAATATCCGGCAAGTAACACATTAATGACATTAGAGAACAAAAACACACTTAACTTGATGTGCATACATGTATAGAATGTCTCGCGGTTTAACACCATTGAATAACAGAGTCACAGTGGCAGTTTTTCAAGGTCAAGCCGCCCACACACTGTGATTCTCACTGAGCAGCAGTCTGCACTTTCTCATTTCTCTGAGCTTCTCAAAACCTCACAGTCACACACAGAAATCCTGATGGTTGTAAAATACTTACTTTTCCTGCTGTGATATGATGACTAACATCAGGATGGCCACTAAACACAAGGCACCAAAGATGAGCAGGGCCACCACTGGAAACCTCGACACTGGGAGAAGAAATGGACACAAATTTGCTTATATTGCACTCATTTGAGCATGGTTAACATTATACCTGCAAAACACTGGCAAGTTAGCATTGTCGTTGTGAGCATGTTTGCATGCTGACGTTAGCATTTAGCAAGTACATCCTCACAGAGCTGCTAGCACTGCTGTAGTGCTGTGTAGTGCTGTCAGCTTTCAGTCTTGGTATACCATCATGATTATATTAAAGCTACAGAACTACAGTGCTGTCCAAACTAACTAAAACATTTGAGACAGAAAGTCCTTACAATTCATGGCTAAAGAATTGGAGGAGCACCTTGTACAAATATAAATGTACTTCTACTTTACTGTTTACCACAGGGGCTATTTTTTGTTGATATCGATTCAAGTTACTGATGCACAGTGAAAAGAGGGGAGCTGTCAGGTGGACTTAAAGCAAGCATTGAGAGGCTTATTCACACCGACAAGGACACTGAGCTGCAGCCTCTACAAGTTGAATGTGAAACTGATAAACCTTTGGAACAGCATGTGTAACAGCTTTGTCCATCCAGCCTGTAAACATTGCAATGAGTGTTTACCTTTAGATGGGATGTTGACGAATACTGAGTCGCTAAATTCTCCAAACTCTTTCACACTGAACATTTTGCACCGGACCCGGACCTCGTGATTGACGTTAGTTTGAAGTCCATAGATGGAGCGTTGGGTGCTTTTCACAAGGTCGGTCTGTGGTGAAGAAAATGAGGTTCAAACACAGCACCACAATCGTCTCCTCTAAGAAACATTATCCTTTCAATACAATAAGAAAAAGTTTACTATTAAAATCAGTCAAGGTATATTAGAGCCTAGGGATGGGATGATTTAATTGATCTGCAATGCAAGACATACATGCTTTTTCACAAAATGTAAGGTAAAGTGATTCCATTATGTCTGAGTGCCATTTTAAAAGTATGTTAAAATAAAGTATATTTTCATGATTATCGTGATAATATCGTGTATCACAATTAATCTGGCCAAGATAATCGTGACATGAAATGTACCTGATAAGTAGTTAATATGGTTCTAAATTACAACTTCACTGGAGAAGTAGAGACACCCACCACTTCCCACACGTCCGAGCTGACGTCGCGGTACTGGACCTCATACTGCAGCATCATCCATCCCATCTCTACATCCGCAGACAGAGGCGGCTTCCAGCTCAGCATAATGTCGTAGTAAGTGCTGGTCAAACTCACATTCAGCAGCGTCCAGTTCAGGCCGACAGGAGGATCCGGTTGCACTGCAGAACAGAACATAATTTTAGGATAATTGTATCATCAGTAACTGAACAAGAATCTCAGTGTTTTAACCGACAGCGTAGTCTTATAGTTTACACTGACTCATGCATTCATGAATTCATTCTATAATATATGGATGGTATAGGCATGTTAGTTGAAGTCCTCCAATGGATTAAATTAATTGATGGAAAAAAACACCTAATCCCTCAAGATCACTGCTCTGACTGCCTTTTTCAACTATATGGACAAAAGTAAATGGACAGAATGTGAGCGGTTCAATTCAGGACAAATATTCCCCAAAGTCCCCTATGCTGGTTTTTTAACCATGGAGTGGAAAGAAACAGTAGAATATGGCAAAACCTCACATGACTACATGGGGTTTTAATCCGCTTTCATCAACCTTCTCTAATCTGAATCATGACAGGCGGGCAGCGAGGCTGTAAACTCACCAATGTCTTGAACGTTGAAGCGGCTCTCATCGTAGAGGACAGTTTGATCCCTCGAGCGGAGCTGGACTCTGTAAGTTATCCATACAGATGTGTGGTTCTCATTGAAGAAGCACTCGTGGGGCCTGTCGGTGCTGTAATGGGGACACTCCCTCCACTCTTTAGAAGTGGCAGGGAGGGGTCTGCAGGGGAACAAGAGGAAGGAGGTGAGATGAAACACCTATTCATTCAGTCAGAAAATCTACCCCACAAAGTAGTTTCTAAATAGTTTAGTGAGTATCTTTTTAGCTGTAGATCGTAACAGGGTATACAGAATGTGCATAATGTTAGTGATTCTAAGACCCTTACCAGTGGAGGGGCTTAAAATATAAAAGTTTCTCTTTCCTCCTCTGGGCAGCACAAACGTGCTCAGTAAATATCGTGCCAATGTGCCAATTAGATCATGAGATATCTTATGAACAAGCTGACATTCTGGCCTGAAGGCAGTGGTAGAGGAAAGTTCACAGAGTATGGTTGCACTCACAAATTGGATTAAACAGTGTCTCAGAAAGTCTTGATTTGATTCAGTTCAATTCATTCTTGAATTATTATTATTTTAAGTATATCAGATGAACCCCAATATTGCGTAAATTGGTTTATTCCTTTATTTTGATAAGACAAGTGAAGATAGACAGGAAATGGTGGAGAGAGAGAGAGAGAGAGTTGGAACTGACCCTGGGCTTCTAGAGTAAGGGGGGTTACTTCTGATTCAAAATGTAATCCTTTGTTCGGGTGTGCTAAAAGGGTTGTGTTCCAAATAATTCTAATGAATTATGTGTTGATTTTGTTTGAATATGGCTTTTTTTCAACTAATGCAACATTTTCTCCTGTTGGACTAAAGTTTTTTTCAAAACGACAGACCCTACTGTTTTACTACATTTCTCAGGATTTAAATAAATAAAATAAAGCTATATCATTTTGAGCTGTCTTTAGTAGCAGCTTAGGTTTGAATACAAGACGGGTAGGGAAATCAGAAAGCACTGAAAGACTGTCGGGTTTGTTCTTTCAATCTCCCCATTCTTAAGAAATCTTGTGGACTTTTGCCTTGTCAACAGAGTGAGCAGGTGCCCTAGATAAGGCTAAGACACAACAATGTACACATTTGAGTTGTTAAAGCAGCAACATCTTCACTTCAGCAGCTGAGAGAAGAAGGGTTTTTAAAGTTCCTACATTTGCTCACACCGACATGCATTTTCTGACACATCTTTCCTTATCAGACACATGTAATCCAATGGTTTCTCTTTTTGTTTCTTCCTAATATTCTTCTTTATTTCTTTTTTCTTTATTTTATTATCTGGATCACACACATGTAATTGTTCATTACTAATATAGTTATTACTTATCGGTTACATATGTGTGAAGGCAGCTGAAATGTTAAAATGTGAAAATGTATTGCACTGTATAGGATGCTAGGACCATAATTATGCAAAATGTATGGACCACCCACACATTTATTAAATTTCTTTATATTTTTTAAATCAGATTTTTATTTGTCTTTGTATTATTTAAATGTTCTATTATTGTAATTTATAATCTTTGATGCATATGAGCCTGGATAGTCACTATAATGTATTATTTGTACTCTGCCAAGTTGTATCCAAATAAAAAGAAACCATAGCCTCTTTCCCATTTGCTTTTTTTTATGTTACCCTGATTTCCTTGAAAGCACAGAGAAACCACATATTTCTGTTAGTCATGACAACGTTTTTCCCCCTACATCTGTTTCATGTAGAATAAGCGGAGCTCTCCCGGCTCAGAGAGGCTATGGAAAGTGCCGACATTCCATCTGCAGCGGAAAGTCTCCATGTTGGTGGAGACACAGCCAGTGAGGTGTGGGTGTCTCTGGGGGAGGACTGTAGGGAAACAGAGAGAGGAAAACGATTACATATCTCATCATTGTTGATACTGTGAAATTCTGTTTTGCTTTTTTTGCTTCTGACTGATCATTGCCTGTTTGGGTGGCTGCGCCAAAACTTTAGAGACAGCAGAACAACTTGTAACCTAATTCCAGTGAGCAACCCAGCCACAGGGCAAATATCAGCTTTTTCCTGGAAGTCAGTCTTACCGCTGTTTAAGCGAAAGCTGCAGCTGGAGAGTTCACTGTCACAGCTGTCGTGGAATAAGCTATGTGCATTCTCTGTACTCAGAAACGCACTTGCACACAACTTGGATCCTCTTTTACTGCCTGCATAAACTGAATCCATGTGTGCACAGAGCAGTCAGTATAAGAAAGAATTTTATGTGTGCTGAAGATGGAAACCATGTCCAACATCTTTGGAAAAACATTTAGCTTTTATTTGTTAAAGGGGAGAATTTTGTGGTTCCAGAGGGAGCTGTGTGACGTCTGATAAAATGTGAAAAAAATAATTAGACTACAAGTTTGAAAATGAAAAAGGAGTGAGAATGTTAGACCTAGCCCACTCCTCATTTATGTTTGAGGCTAGCGGTTCAAGGCTACATTAGCCATTACTAGCCTGAATCTCCAAACGGACTATTGACCATCAGAATGGGTTGTGGGTAATGTAGGAATGTAACGAAAAATGAGTAGAATGAAAAAGATGATATCTTTTCTTTTAACTATGTATTGTGAGTCTAAAAATAAAGCTTGCTGCCTCCATGTTAGCAGATGGGACACGGGCCAAACTAAAAAACCTTGCAGTAGGTTTGACTCAAGGTACACTTACTACCTTTTTCAAGATCATCTCACAGCCTCCATAAGTGGATAGAGTTTGCTTGGAGAACGATCTGCATGGCTAGTTACTGTGGAGTGTTTATTTAATGTTGGTGAACTTTGCACAAAGAGAAGAGCAAGCTTTTTTTCCTTTACATTGCCGTTAAGTAAACACTGCTGATTGAATTACCAGGAGGCATTGTGATCAATGATTCTGGGGACAGCAGCAGCTAGCTGACCACGTCAACATTTCAGAGAGGAACAAAACACAAGACAGGGCTGGCTGAGTACCCAGAAGTGCAAGGACAAGATGGCTCCTTCACAGACGAGAGGCAGCGCTCGGAGCAGATGATGAATACCTCTGGCTTGCTTAGGGTAATTCAGGGAAAGGGGAGCTACAGGTTAAAAATAACCTGTTTACAAGATCATCGACTCCTCCTCCGAACTGTGCTTTGCTTAGCTCAGGTTTACGAGAAAAATCTATTTGATACTCAGCTATGCAGAGCATTTTTGTGGCTTGTGGATAGTTGGTACGTGTGTGACAGGGAACATGTGTGGCATTTTGGGGGCAGTGTGATTGCTGGCTTTATGTGGCTACATTTTTTTCTCAATTGTGTGAAGGGCTATGTTTATTTACTGCACGGCATAGGTAGTCGGGGCGGATAGTGTAGGAAAACAAATAAAATACACTGCCAGTAAACATTTTATGATACATTTTGTATCAACATTTTGCAACTTCCTGGACATGTTAACTATCAACATTACGTTGATAAAATCATATTCCGGGCGCATTACATTCTTTTGTAATAATTTCAAGTAGACAGCCGTTTGTTTGTAGTACTTCTCAGATTTTACATTACATACAAAACATATATTCAACTTCAGATCAGAATACCAAACAGTATAAAAAGTAGTCAGAATGACCTACTCCAGCTACTACTAAATAATCTACTAATATAATATATATGGGGTGTAAAGATTTACTGATACGAGTCGGAATTTAGTTTTATGACTCGCACTGAATTGTTCCATATTAAAACGCATCGTCCCTGAATTTGAAGATGGCATACTGGGCCCAGGAAACATTTTACAAATCTAAAAGTGTTTTTTGGATTTATATTGTGCTGACAATTCCGTACTTTATCAGTGAATTTTTGAATGAAGGCCTTTTAGTGGATCTGAATACTTCTTTCACCACTGAGTGCATGAGAAATATTTAAAGAGAATAAAAGCAAAAGGAATGTATTGCTTTATGACGCCTAATTCATACATATACAGTGTACATCTGGTCCTTATTAGCAGAGAGCGTGATTAGAATAACTAGATTAGCTTGCAAGATGAACATTTTTCTGCTTGTGTGCTTATCAAAGAAAGTGCTGCTGTGTTTGCTCAACAGAGCCGGCAGAGTTCACTTCTGGTGTAAGTAAACATGTGAGCAGTAGTCATAGAGCACTTTTCTCAACACAGTCGGCACATAGACAATTTCCAGGATGGTAATATCAATTTACAACATATTCTCATTACAGGACTCCACTTTCCGAGGCACAGTGCCACAACCCTACGAGGTAAACATGTTTACAGCATGATTTTTCTCTGAGTACTGCTGAGACTGAGCTATTTCAGGGTGAAACAAAACATCCTCGCTCAATCTGTTTTCATAAGTGCAGATGTGTTTCCTTTCAGACATGATTTCAAAGGGGGCAGGAAAAAGCTTCTGCATGAATTTCCTTTAAAGGACTCACTCACACATTCAGCAGATACCATAAATTCAGATCGAACACTGCTTATTGTCATTTTTTGTTTATACAACCTCATGATGATAATTAATGTGTGTTTTTCCAATCGCAGCATCAATTAACATCTGCACAGTGTGATGGTGGGAAGCCTTCATTAATGGCTTTCCTGTGAGCACACAGGGCAAACGGTTATTTAGAGAGTCACATGTTTAGAGATCAATCAGTGTGCTCTCAGGGGGAAATACCTCATCCTCTGCATTTAGAAAGCAATTTCCTTCCCTGGCTAAGGGCCACAATGCTCTCATCAGTGATTACTGAACCTTTTGCTAACCTAACAAGCCGTATGGGCACAACGTGGACAGAAATAAAGCTTGTGTATGACAGAAAGGGAAGAGTGACAGTATAACCTCTTCAGCCAAGAAACGTAATGACATTAAGCACCAATGTCCTGTTTCCTGAGCGATATAAACAGTGCTGCTCAGGTAGTGAGGAGGACAAAACACTATCACCATCACCCCTACAGGGACCATTCCATTTCTAGAAGTGGTACCTCCGGTGGCTTGTGCTTCAATACAGTTGGGAAGTGAGTTATTTCTGGCGACCAGTGTTGTAAAAGGAAAAGCCCCAGACATTTTCTCACAGGCAATGTCAGCTGACCGAGTACATGAAACTCTCCTGGTTGAATCATCAACACAAAATGGTTCTTTGATAAAAAGTCAAAGCAAAAGTACTACAGTAAGAAACAACAAAGCACAAAGCTTAAAGTCCCACTCCACAAAAAAGGTTTTCTTCTGGTTACTACACTGTGATGTTTGATGTTCACTGAGCAGAATGATGTACAGTATGTGCAGAGTTTGACACTAGAAGGATTTTTTCACATGCATCTGCTGAAAGTGGAAAGTTTCTCTGTGCATACGGAGAATCTGATTTTAAGGGCCGGGGTTTACAAGCATGATTTGTGACATCACAAATAGTTTGGAGATCAATGACAATGGACCTGACAGTGACATCTTGTGTCCAGCAGGAAAACTTTGAAATGATTGAAACATTCGTTCATATTCATAGATTCTGGAATTTTTAATAAGGCAAAGGGAGTAAATGACTTATTAAGGATCTCAGCTATCCACTGATCTACAGACGGCTCGATGTAATTTCTCTGGGGGGAAAGTCTTTTACTGGCCAGTGTGCGTCATGTTACGGATCCAGGAGTTATAATTAACACAGTATGACTTTTATGTCAAACTGGCATATATCTTCAGGGTTTGGGCTACATCAGCAGTGAACACATTCAATTTAAAAGAAATACAGTCTTGGAGCAAAATAAGCTTCAAAGTTTTACTATCCGCTTTGGGCCAATGTAGCTAAGCTGGCTATTAAGTGTTTTTCTAACCATTCCTGAGCGACTCTATCTCTCTATTTTAAGTTTGTGCTTTATGCTACAAACCGCTCTACGTGATGAGAGTGTACGGCTAGCAGCAACCTGTGTATCTATGTATTATTTTTACAATTGATGGGAATTTGATTTAACATTGGTCTTGATAATGTGAGTAAAAATACGCGGAGTGGGGTAGCTAACGTTGCTAGTTAGCAAAAGGTAGCCAGCAGGCATAGGCTGTTTTTGATAGCTCCTGCCTGCTAATAGCGGTTAGCCTGTGTCTGTGTGCATAATTATGCACCTCTCTTAGAAAATACTAAGATCATAAATATTAAAAAATATTTCAATATTTGTTCTTTTGTTATGTAGTCTCTCACAGGAAAAGCAGCCATTCACCACAGCCAACATCCGCAGTCTGAGATAAAGCAGCAATTCAGAAATCTTCAGGCTATAATAAGTTGTCAAACTTGCTACCAAGTCTGCATTAAAATAACTATACTTGGTTGAGGCAACATTTATTTCAATTTGACCGCAGTCAGCTCTCCCTCGCATATTATGCTACAGGAGAAAACATTCCTGTCAGAACTAAGCAGCCTAGTTCAATCCAACATAAAGACAACAGACAAAAACAGAACAAGTGGCAGGAGAACAGGGGTAGAGGGGAACACGTCCTCCATCCAAATCTCCACCAAATTACTGACAGTGTTATGTAACAAGACAAAGTACAGGATGTCCGTGCATGACTTTAGTGGTCAGAGCAGAATTTGTTTATATATGTGGATAAAATACGACCCATGTATGCAAATACACAGCCTTTCCACTGTCACTGAGGGGCTGTTTGGTAGAAAGGGGGGGCTCTACACACTCTCTAAACAGCTTCCCATTGTTCAGCAGTGGAGTACTCTCTGCTCTCCAGAATTCCTGGGAAGCCACTTTACTAGAAATCCGCTGGCTGTTCCATGTGGCTCTGTGTGGAGCACTGTTGTGCAACACATCTCATTTGAAGGCCAAGGCAGCACAGTAACTATGCACTTGCAAATGTTTTATATTGTCCTGTCGTCCATTAAAAGCAGATTTGTCTAAAAAATTTGTTCCATCTGGTGTTGAGCAATATTTTATTCGCAACAAAATCGATCAACGGGAATTGGGTAATCTTGGCATCATAAGACAGCAGATGTAAAAGAAAGCATCTTCAATGCCAAGCATAAAAGCTGCCAGTAACATAACGCAATATGTCAATGTATGTTGTATAATAAACAGAATTTTAAACTTGTCTCAAATCTGTCCACAAATTAGCAAACATTTGAATCCAATTAAACTATGCAAGAAAACTGAAGACAGCAGTTGCCATGAATGTCAACAATCATAAACATACCTGGCTCAGAGGCTGATTCCAGCGCTGAAGCAGTAAAGATGTAAAGGACGAAGAAGAGCATGGTGACAGTGGCAGCCATGGTGTTGAGCTGTGGAGGACACATGTGGTGAATGTTAGTTTCTCAGTGCAGTCCACCCAGCTGAGCCACAACACATGAAAGTCCAGCCCACTACCACCATTACCACTCCTTAACTTTTTCTTTTAAATTCGGGAGAGGTTGGGTACACCCATAATAAACCTGAATAGAGTCATAAGTGTTTGAGATAAAAACATGCATTCAATGATTTTACGTCTCAGTTTGTAAACTCTGCTCCAGTGCACACATCCGAACATTCAGCGGGATGAACTCTGTTCCCTCTTTGCAAATATTTTGCTGAATACTTTGAACCCTTTAGGACAGGAACCCAAGAGATCAGTTTGCCTCTTAAACTTTTTATTCTTTTTGATTTATGTAGGATTTTACTTCTACATATGAAATCACTCATTTGTTTTCTTTTAAAAGGATCTTATTTCATCCAAGTCATTTGAATGAACGACACTTTAACTGATATGTGTTCTCAGTTTTTACACTTGAACTGACTAACTCCTTGAAGTACTTCTTATCATCACTTAAGCATTGTCCATGCCAGACGTGTTCTCCCCTATTGGAGGCATGGCGCCTGGGAAGAGCGTACAGGAGCAGGAGGATGCAGGATATGTGAGTTAAAAGCAAGTATATCTCCAGCCTTCAAAATTCTAGAAATCGCTTAATTTGGAAAAACTTCATCAACTTTGCAAAAAAGTTCTGATTTAGCAAACGTTTCCACTCCGACAGTCTCTTCCACTTGCTCTATTAACACAAGGGCTCAAGCAGACATTAGACGGACTTGGTACTAGGGAGCGCTAGCAAGGTTAAGTCTGTTTAATTTCCGGTCCAACTGATTCTCACACAGCTTTTCCAGGTAATGACATTTCAGCTTCCTTCACTGATTGCGTAACTGCCACTTCAACTTCTTTCAGAAACCTTCCTTTTCGGTTTTGCGCTTGAAATTAAACTTATTTCTTTCAGGACTTCCATCTCCATTATCACTTCCACTACAACATACATCACAGCTCCTTCCAGCACTTCCACTTCAACTGTGCTCCAACTTCATTCAGGGCTTACGCGTTCATTACACACTTTAGTTGTTAGTATTCACACTGTTCCTGGACAGAAGTGTTTCGAAACAGTGAACTGTTTGTTCTAAATGTGACATCCACTTCCAGCCAACAGCACTGGGTTCTTGACAGCACTTTTGAAATCCAACCCCACTACATTCTGGTTGTGGTCAAAGCAAGGGCGTGGGAAGAAGGGGGGGGTTGAGTAGAGAGCACCCTACCCTTTACGTCCCAGCCATTTGTTTTAATCTACACATAATACTAAAATAGGTTAAAAGTTGTCCCTGCAAGGACTAGTAGGCATATTGAGTAAGTCTGGTACACTTCACCTGTTTCATGTCATGTGTTCCATCGCACCATACACATCCATCTGGCGTCACAACCGGCCTCTTGTTTCATCTTGTAATTGACATGACATTCTCAGCCTGATTTATCAATGAAAATATAATCTAATACCTGTTTGGAGAAGCCTCCTTACTCAAACAGCAATGTCATTTTCAGATTTTGGTGGCAACTTAACACCTGTCTTATTTCTGGCCTTTTGATTACTTCACGGCCTAAAAATGTGTGTCTAACAGCCAAAAACGTTTGAACAAGTCACAGAAGCATTCCTGCAAAGAGAGGGTATATGGGAGAGGATCATGTATCTAAGAGGTATCAAATGTTCTTGATCCCAAGGGATTTCTGGGGCAGATAGAACAGAAAAAAAAAGTATCACCTGACTGAAATGAATTAGCCTTAATAGGGAAGCAAACGTGCTAATTCTTGCCCATTAGCACTGATGCCAAACACTGGCTCATTTCAGTTTATCAGAGGAGAGGATTACTGAGCTGTTGATGTCATACTGAATGAACACCTCTTGAATTTAATGGAGTTTATCTGTTTTAGGAGCTGTTGTGAAGCATGTGTTGTTTTTAAGTGTGACCTGCTGTGCACTTCACACAGGCCATACACACATATGTAGAATATTGGCTGATAAATCTTGCCTGGATTGTTTTTTGTACTCTTCAGGCTGCAAATGTTCTGCATCAGTCAGACTCTGTGTTTGGTTCAGCAGGTTCACATATGCTAAGAGTAATTATCGTTAGATAATCTTTCACTACTTGTGTTCGGTTAAGTGGAGGTTCAATTCCTTGAAAAATGTTATTATGATGACACGTATGTGCAATGTTAGGGCTAGGAGTCAGGCACTATGACTTTATAATCTCTGTTTACCATGCAGCTGAGGACAAACGAGCTTTTAGACTTTGGGATTTCTCATGCTGATAAGACAGACTAACAGACAAAACTACACTCAAAGCTACAGATGGCACAAACTGTTTAAGTGAACAGGTGTGGACTCCACAAACATAGTCAATGTCATAACAGTTTGTGAGCAGCCAATAGTCCCATTTCTTATGTATTTTAATGCCATTTAAGTCATATGCTGTGATATATAACCTCTGCAGCTGCAGAGAGGGTAGTGGGAGGTTTCTGGGATTTATGCAATGATACGAAAAAACAGTATTTCCATTAAATCCATTTTAAACTCCAAAAGTATCCCTGATAACTTCAACACTTGAGGGTCGTGACAGTTTGTGCACCTAAAACTGGGGTAATGGGACATAAAGGTTGAGAAACTTTGATGTAAGAGGACATTAGAACTAGGGCTGTGTATTGGCAAGAATAAGACAATAACATATGTATCACGATACAGTGGTTACGATCCGATATATTGCGATACTGCAAATAGGGCGATATATTGTGCCCTCAGTTTACCTTTACCAGACGGCTATCCAGTGGTTGGGAGTTTAAACACAAATCAATACAGTGTTATTGAGATATTGTTATTTTCTATTTATAATTAGAAACTATGAATTCTGTTTTAATATCACATTACAGTAAAACGTACTTATCTACTGGTGCTATGATGATACTATTGTGTGTGCCTGTGTTCACCTTCATTGTGGTTGCTTTGGAGAAGAAACCGTGAATGTAAAAGGACTGCGGGGGAGGAACATATTTTTGTTGTATCAGATGTGTTTCACTTTGTGCAAACGGCAAGACCAAATACCTCAACAACCAGGGGAACGCCATGTCAGGTAAAAGGCAGAAAAATAAGGCCTGAACGCTACTGTGCCAAATGTTTTTGTAACTTTTTCACTTCTCATGTAGGTCATTCGTTGCAGAATCTGATTCAATATGTATCTGTGATAGTGTAAATATGCACCACCCACAATGAATGAACATTGCTGTACATCTGTGGACGATTGGCGCGGCTTTAAATTGAGTTTTAATTCTAACATTGTGTTTCTATTCTATTCACTTCTCATTAATTACAGTCATTTAAAGCTACAATGCGTACAATTTTTACACTGTGCAACTTTGGTGTCCTCTCCCAGGTAGTAGTTGAAAAGACAACAAGTTAAAGCAGCATTGTTTTTGTTGTTTTGTTGTTGTTTTTTGCCACTAAATCTCACACACTGGTCCTTTAAACTGCTTTATATGTTCCACTTTTCCCACCAGCTAATGGTGCTGCTTCCATGCATCATAATTTATAAGTAAATATGTTTGTTTATAAAATCTTTATCTAAAACATAATATGTGACCAACAGCCATCAAATGTATGACGCAGTTGAGCTAAACGTAACAAACTAATTTCAGGGCTACATCGAACTATTATTTTAATTATCTATTTATATTTATAATCTACCAAATATTATTTACTTGATTAATTGATAAGTCGCTTATTCAATAAAATGTCATAATTAGTGAAAAATGGCAAAACAGTATCTAATAACAACAAGTTATATCCTTTCAAACTACTTGTTTTTTCGGGCCAACAGTCTAAAACCAAACATATTTTATTAGTTGTATTATCTCATGAGACAAAGAAAAAGACCACCCATCTAATAAGCTGCAACTTGGGAATGTTTGGCATTTTTATTTGGAAAAATGACACAAATCATTCTCAAAATAGGTGCAGATATAATGTTGATCAACTGATTGATTATGGACAGATTATGAACTGTTTTGGCTGTTAATATTCTTCATTCTAATACATAAACACATCAACAATAAACTGTTTTAAATTTGCACTATTAAGTCCCTCAAAACTGAGCTTTATGGGGCCTTGAGAACCTAAAACATGTTATTTTCCACCTTTTACCACCTGTACTCAGATGTATCTACCACATTCAAACCTCGACAAGCCACTTTTGTGACAGACAGCTTGAACTTATTCTTCACAGTATTTTATTTTAATGACACCCCCAGTTTGCCTTGCACGGTCTGGGGTCAAACCTGTTTTTCCCAGTGTGCTCTCTCAGATTGTGCAAGATTCCTGCAGAAAATGTGCACAAAACGCTAAAAGCTCTGACCCGATAACGTGCAACAACAAGCAGCAACTGCCTCTGCTGTGAGGAGACTTTATGATCAAACACACACTGTCAGACACTGTCGGTTTACATACAGCATCGTAAACACACAGGAACATGCAGGGGGGACATAAGGCAGCTCACCGCTGTGGTGGAGTGGACAGCAGTCTGTTCCCAGTCCTACAGCGGCAATGAAGTCCAGAGTCCCCCTGAACAGACCGCGGACACCCTCTAAAACCCGCACCGGAACACGTCTAACCGAGGTCCGTGCTGGCTGCTGACGCTGTCGAAGAAACACTGGCTGGTTGGCTGTCGGTGTGTGTGTGTGTGTGTGTGTGTGTGTGTGGAGCAGGAGCACAGCTGTAACAGTCACTCTGTAGTTTCTGAGGCAGAGAAAGGGCGCCATCTGTCGGTGGAGTCTGGGTACAGCAGGAAAACTAAGCTACTTTATACTAACTGCACCAGTATTGTCATTTTTACTTTACAACAGCTTTAGTTACTTTTCAGATTAAATGACATAGTTTTAAGGATTAAAGCAAATAGTGCCTTATATAAAGTATGGTAAATCAACTCCACAGTAATGTTATAGTAGGCTAATAATAATCATATATTATAGTGTATGACAGGGGTCAGTGGCGCCTAAAGAAGTGAATACCTTTTAATTGGCCTGTCCTGCAAAGGATAAACTCCACACTCTTGCATACTTAATTCACCCAAAAATGTGCCAGTAGTATTTGCTCATTGTTACTTAACTACAGCTGCTTAACTTCAGGAAGTAAGGATCATTAAGAAATGAACATTACACATAGGAGAGGAGCAGATCTTGCAATCAATACTGGCCTAAAGGATATAAGCTGTGACAGCTACATAAAATAATGCATTTTGAGTCAAGTGTTCCTTATTCATCAACCAAAATTAGACAACTCTGTCATCATACCTATCCCATCAAAAATAAACCATGCACATCAGAGGGGATTTAGTAGTGCATACCCAATGCTGACTGAAAAATAAGTATATGTGTGTATACCCTGCACTACACTATTGACAGGGGCCATTCTGCTGTCCAAGAAGTACTTTTGCTTTTGTTTTGTTAATTGTTGTTGCAAATACTTTTACTTAAGTAAAAGAGTTTTACTTATAACAGAGTATTTTTACAGTGTGATATGTAATACTTAAGTAAAAGGTTTTAAATACCTCTTGCACTTCACACTGCTGAAACATGAGCTGCAGGCTCTAACAGACAGCAGGGCCATAGCCAGGATCTGTCCAAGCCCCATGTACAAAAAAACACACACAAAAAAGAAAGTCTGGAAACATTTATTTGGATTCTTGTTATGTAACTGATATCTATATATATTACTTTGGGTAATTGTGAATTCATTTTCTGTACATTTCATTTCCTAACGCAAACCTCAAAGGTCTCTACACCCTGCCACAATTTTGGTGGGGAAATACTGAATCCCTCAAAACCTAAAAGTTTAAATATACTGAGTATAAAAATACTAGAATAGGCATAAAAAAACAACCATTTATAGATTTAAATTGTGGAATTTTAAATCTTCTGACAACATATTAAATACAGACATATTCACACATTTGACTCAGTTTTCCTCTATGCTGATATACTTAGATTTAGTTATGCCTAGTAAGTCCCTCTCTGTATATCAATAAAATGTAAAAGGTAACAAAGCATCATATCATGTATGCATATCTCAGTCCAGCCATCAGGTATGTGCAGTGAAATAAAAAGTTCAATATTTATTATTATTTAAAAAAAGCAAATGCTTTTACTTGTGTTATATAAATACTGTGACTCCAATAGTTCACTTGTATTATAGTGCAAGTTTTTATTTCTTATATGCTGTAATTTCTGCATATAGAAACAATGATGAACCTAAAAAAGGATAAATAAAAATCCCTTAAAATGAAGTCAAGCTCAACTACATCTTTAAAACTTTACCCAACTTGTCTACATGTAATGGAACTGCTCCTCAATAGTAGAGCGGCATTTCAGGTCACGTTCATGTCGAGTCTCACCCACTCACATGTCAGTGACAACTTGTTTTTGACTGTGCGTGTCATCAGACTGCGAAGACCACCGACACACTCTCCACATACTTTGCATAGCGCACACATCCAGACAGAGACACATGCACACACTCAGTGTGGTTAAACAGTAGTTACTGTAAGTGTAAGGCAATCTTGCTCATTTACTTAAGCCTGCAATAACTGATTTTCTTGGCCACATGGGGGCAGTGGAAACAAGTTGTGAACACAACACTGCAATATTTTATATAAAGTTAAAGGTCCAGTTGGTAACATTAGGAGGAGACAAAGGGTAAACTGGGGTGGCCAGACATTTTTAGGGGTTCCCCTGGCATGCCACCCATCTAGATTCACCCCTGCTTAAAGCGGCCTCACTCTTAATTATGCATAACTTTAAGCCTTGATGTAATTTAAACAGGGGAGTTATATATAAATTCAGCCCTCCATACAGTTGTCATTAATGGAAAAATTAGCAATAAAGACCAAATTCTTTGGGCATTTTAATATGGGGCCTTATGGAGAGTGACTCACTTTTGGAGTCACTGATGCATTGTACCAAAATAAAAGTTGTGTCACAGTATATACAGGCATAAAGACAGAGCAGCACAGCAGAATATAGACAGACACTGACATAATGTTGTTACAGTTAAAGGACCAGTGTGTAGGATTTGGCGGCATCTAGCAGTGAAATGTCAGATTGCAACTAACTGACCACCGCTGACGTTTCTATTTGACGACCTGGGAATGAGAACAGGAAACAGGAAATGTCCCTATATAGAGTCAGTGTTTAGTTTGTCTGTTCTGGGCCACTGTAGAAACATGGTGGTATAACATGATGGACTCAAGGAAGATGACCTGCGCTGTCTGTAGATAAAAACGGCTCATTCTAAGGTAACAATTTCTATTCCCTGACAAAAGAGCCTCCTGAATGTTGGACCTTTAGGTTGTGTTTGGCTGCAAGTTGAGTTCAAGTGCAGGTGCGTGCATGTGGGGGTATGAGGGGGGAAATAAAGTTTAAAAAAAGAAAAGTAGAATAAGTTCTAAATATACAAATAAGGATAGAAATAGAAAAGGGAAACTATAATAATAATACCAATTAAAATAAAAATTAGAGGTGGAGGCGAGCTGGGTCTTGTGGAACTGCTATTTGCCACACAAGCACCTGGTTGACAATCCCTTCTACAGCTCAGCTGAGACGAAAACCCCAGGAATGTCCCAAGACCAAGAATGAAAGAAGGGCACACATACACACACACTGTCTGCTTCATCTGTAATAAAAAAAACAGATATTGTGTATTGTATATTGTGGAGCTACAGTATGACATCTGTATCTTGGTGATAAAGAATAAAAATGAATCACCACTAGATGGTAACCATAACTAACTATGTTTGTAGGCCTGTAGGGACTCACTGCTCACTGGCTACAGTTAGAGCTCCAGATGTGCCGAGTGTGCTTTTTGTTACATTGGTCATGATCTCTGGAACAAACTGCATGATGACGTGAAATAAGTCACAACTGTGTCTCTGAATTACACAAAATCAGGATAACCACTTGTGACGCAACATACTCCTGTCGCAATCCAGTAAGGCCGCTCTGTTCACTCCTTCCTGTACCCTGCAGCACTCAAAACAAACAGTCACATTTTTGACTGGAAAAAACATTCGAGCACAGATGAAAGAGCAAAATAAAGCCCAACTGGCTTTGGGCCGAGGTTGTGGAGAAGAACACTGGGTCTCTGTTTGAATAATCAGTTTTCTGTTTAATGAATGAGAGTTTCTTCATGGTGGGAATTCCTGAGCTCGGGGATCTGTTGTGAAATATCTGGTGGTGCTGGTTATATGAACCAGAGTGTTCCAGGCTGGACCAGACGAGAGGGCTGAACTTTGAGGAGCACATCATGAAGGTACTTATTAAGACTTTGGGCCACTATTATATCTAACAGTGGACAGTGTTGTTGTTGTTCTGTAAGAAAGAAAAAAGTTGAGGAAACTTGAGATTTCAGGGCAACAAATTTCAGTAAGATTTTTATTGTTCGTTTAACTTAATTTCTTAAGTTTAGGTTTTGAGTTTATTCAACTTAGAATTTTTACTTTTGTTAACTTACTCCAAGTTAGAATTATTATTAGAGTTAATTAAGAATTATTAATAGAGTAATTGTTATTAGAAATTATATTTTACATTATATTTTACATCATCACAACTCAGACTCTTTAAACCTGTTAATTTAATTTAGGTCAAAGTAACAAACTACTATTTTGTATTCCTCTAGAAATTCTCATTTAACAAATCTGATTTTGAGACACATGTAAAAAGACACCTAATGGCCTCCATCATAATTTAACTTTAATTGAGTGGGTGCTGGGAAGCGTGTCTCACACTGAGTTCATAATAAAGTAAAAGTTTATTTAATAATAATATTTAAACATTTAGCAAGAGGCTAGAAAATGTCGATTTTTTTCACTTTAAATACTGATAATTTTGGTTTCTGTGGCCTAACAACAAAGGTATTTATGACACAGAATATAAACTGGCAGTTTTTACAGTGTAGAGCATGTTAAAGATCAAGAAGAATCTGATCCTCTTGGAGAAACTGACTTTTATTCATGTTATGATGATAGCTGCTGTTGATAACGTTAGTTAGAGAATAGAAAAATGCTTCATAATGCTTTTTTGTTATACTGGTCTAACATGATTAAGGCTGAGTTAACAGTTGTCTTGCTTTTGTGTACAGTTGGATTTGGCTGGTGCTCTGTCTTCTTCGGCATTATTGCTCATCTTTCTGTCTCCAGTTTGGTAGGTGTACAAATAAAAGCTGTCCACACATCTTACTGCACTATCATCATTTTTGGTAATAATGTATTGATGATGTGAAAAATGTATTTTGTTGTGAAAGGGCTGTGGTTTTTACTTGTGCTACATATATCGAATAATACTCCTTTATTTACTGTAAGATGGATATTATGTTTCAATTTATTCTAAAGAGAGGAATAAAACATACATTCCCCCCCGTTCAGCTGTCAGCAGCCTGTAAATTGCAGATGGGGGCCTTATGGAGACTGGTCTGAGTGTGACGGCTGCTCCAGAACAAAGGTACTTCAGAGCACACAAATATTTAGACTGTACTTTGTATTGCCTGGAGGTGTGGAACTCTAATTAATGAGTGAATTTGTTTTCAGTTTTGATAATAATTTGCACTATATTATATGCACAATGTAGTTTACTTTAGCTTGTAATAAACTATTTAAGTTATTTATTTATTTGAAGGAAGGAAATTTGGTTTTGGGTTGGGCCTGATATTTTGGGCCCGGTCAGAGTTCTAGTGACATGCTATAGCTAGCTGGGAAGTTGCAGTTGCAATAGCTATCTTAGTTACTGAATTAAGCTAATACATTTTATTTAAAAGATCTATTTAGCATTGACATTTGTCTCACCAATTCCAAACCATATCTTTTTTATGGAGCAGTTTATACCCTGGATAAAGTTGGATGGGGCAACACAGCTAGCATGATAGCTTCCTTTGTTTTGGATTTCCATTTCCTCAGATTAGCATTGATTAGACAGCTTGCTATTGGTCAGTTGCACAAATTCAGAATATTCCAAAGTTGAATTTGATCTGAAAGATTTACACAGATTTATAATTTGCCTGTGCAACCTGATCATGGTGGTGAATATTGCTGCCAGATTATTATTGACAGTATTGACAGAGCCTATACACAGAGTTTCTCAGTTGGGGGTCAGGGTGTTGTGTGGCGTCGCATATTTTGGGACTCTCACAGGATACTGGGACACTTTTAATTTCTATTAATGTAATCTATTTTTAGTTTAATTTTATGATTATATTAGATGTTGATGACATTTTAGATGATACAATCAGCGCTGTCACCATGTTGTCAATAAAATACAAACATTTATTTCATGACTCAGTCTTATAACTACTTCACAGCAGTGAAGTTCCAAAAATGTGAAGACACTTAAGACACCAGAAAGGCCAGAAAAAGTACACAAATCCTGGTCTGACATCTTGTGGACAACGTGCCTTCCATTTTGTTTGTAAAAACGGTAAATAAATTCAGATTGTGCTAATCATTTGTTCACTTCTTCAATTCATTTGTTTATGATCACTTCCTTTTCAGGTACGGACTCGACATGTGGACGTGTACGCCCAGTTTGGAGGTGTGCCATGTTCAGGAGAAGCCACACAAACACAACCATGTGTCTCACAGAAAAGATGTCCCCTGGAAACAGGCTGTGGAGACAGGTTCCGCTGCACCTCTGGTATGTTGCAACATATATTGTATTACAATTTGTATTACAAAACTTTTTTCTAAATTCTGCCTGTTGCAATGGGGAATGAAAACTCTTTACTGAAACCCTGATGCAGGTCAGTGTATCAGCCAGTCTCTGTTGTGTAATGGAGACCAGGACTGTGAGGACGGTCTGGATGAGAGAGGCTGTGGTCGGGACAGCAGCCAGTACTCATGTGACATTGACAAAACGCCTCCCAACTCTGACTTTACAGGCAGAGGGTGAGTACCTAAAACTCCATTTAATACCCCTTCTGGCTTTTAGAATTCAGTCAAATTTAGAAAGGGTTTGACCTATGACCAACTGTATATGTTCGTATATTAGCATAATTTTACATTATGTTTGGTATAAAAACTTTAAAATAATCTAAAAACATCAAATACTCTTGGCAACCAGCACAACATATTAAAGTCTGAAACATATGTCACCTATTAGACAATAAAATGGATTTGCTGTGTCATGTTTTACAGGTACGACGTTCTTACAGGCAAACTGAAGGCAGGTGTCATCAACACTCTGAGCTTTGGAGGCCAGTGCAGGAAGGTGTTCAGTGGGGACCATAAAGTCTATTACAGACTGCCACAGAACATCCTCAGGTACAATTTTGAGGTAAGACGAACAAGAAATGTGTCTTTGTTGTTCATGTTTACAGACTGGGGCAAAGGCCTGACATTGCCACCCCTAGCGCCATGCAGCTACTGTAGCAAGTAAATAACAGATCCCGATGTGCTATTCTCAACTGCTCTAATGAAACTAAATGTTGCCTGTGTTTGTGCTGCAGGTGATAGTAGACAATGACGAGAGCGATGAATCTTACGAGAGCTCCTGGTCCTACATGCAGCACATCCAGTCCAATGCCTTGGTGGGACACGATCGCCGCACTTTCCACAAAGAGCTCACTGACAATAAGGTAATGGGACAACCTGATCTGCTTCACAAATTACTTATTTTACACTTCTAATTGAAAGTGCTGGACAAACTGGTTTGATATCTTGGGCTCTGGTCAAAGGTTTCTATTCGCCAACTTACAGAGAATGACATGGCAGTCTTTTCATATCTATCATGCAGGCCTACAGACTTATAATCCTGAAGAACAAAGTGGAGCTGGCCCAGTTCCAAAACTCTGCCCCTCAGTATCTGACTCTCGCCGAAGGCTTCTGGAAGGCCTTGTCTTCGCTGCCGATCACATACGACTACTCTGCCTACCGCCAGCTGTTCCGTACATACGGCACACACTACCTTTCCGAGGGCTCACTCGGTGGCGAATACCAAGCCTTGTTGGAGTTAGACCGCCAGGCGCTTTCATCAACCAGTAAGAACTTTTGGTTGGAATTATGTTGCTTTTGATATAAGTGCATTAGAAATCTTGATTCAGCACATAAAATCTGAAGCAGAGTGAATATGATGTGTTATATTTTAGTGAATCTTGTGAATTTGTTTCTTGCATTGGCTATATTGGTCATTATACCTTTATTTTTAGAATAGTCTGCAATTAGATTTTTGGTTCCTCTGTGACATGAACAAGTTGAAAACAAACAGCAGATGTCAAATACATCAAATATATATTGGCTTAAACATAACTATAAACAATACTCTCCTACAAAATGATTTGTATAGTATCTATGTACTGAAATGTGGTGCCTGTCAGCTGATTACTGTTTGCTATCTCTTGCTCCTGCCTTGTCTGTGTAAAGGCACAACAGATATAGAGTACCAGAGGTGCTGGAAGAAGGTGAAACGCCGTCTCTTCAGGAAGAAAGTCAAAATCACATGTGAAAAACTGACTAAATCTTTATCATCCAGCCACGGTGAGTGAAAGGTTCTTATTCAGAGTGTCGAACAACACGGTGTGCCACAAAGGGTCGAAGCNNCCCTGACGGCCCCTCATACGAAGCAATCATTCATACTCTGATGCTTGGATTTAAATCAATCAAACTGAATTCAACTTGACTATGACACAGTCTAGGCCTGAACTGTATTTGTCATTTGTGTGCAGGACACAACGTAAACAAGATGCCCATTAAGGTCAATGTGTTCGGAGGTGATCCGGCCCTGACAGGCGCTCTGACGGTTCTGGACCTGGAAAACCCAGAAGCTAACGGAGAGGTCTACGACAACTGGGCCTCCTCTGTCAAAGACTACCCTGAAGTCATAAACCAGAAGGTATGACAGTTGTATCTTATTGATTAATTGATCAATTGAAAGCTTTTGCATTCCATTTACTTACCTTTGCTTTCTATAGGTTTGAAGTTTACAGTGGCATTCAAAATTAATATTAATTATTGAAACAATAAGAGTTATTTCAGAATGGAGTGGATATAAAAAGCTTATTGTTTAACCAGAAAGGGACAACTTCACAGTACAGTACAAATTAGCTAGGCCTTCCACTGAAAATGCTCTCTAGGCTAAATTTATTAATTTAGTTAATTAATGAAGTTTTTATTTAAAAATACACTGAGCAGAAGACAGATTTTTGAAAGATCTCATCTTTTCTCTTGTCTTTATTTGGTATTAAGGTTATCCAAAAATAACTGGCAGTAATGAAGTTACATTACTTACATATTGTGGTACTTCGATTAGGGTTACTAACTACATTTTGTAACAGGTAATCAGTAATTGTATTAGATACCCTTCCAAAGTATGATGATGAAAACTGTGAGATCTGCTGGTTCATTCTAACGTGACCCGTTTCTGGTTGCTTCTATAGAAAAGAGTAATTAGGCAAGAAAGGTTAGATTCATGTTTTGTTGTTTGTGTTTTTAAGCAAAATGTTTTTCACTAATACAAATGGCTTTTAGTATGAAGACTGACCAATGTGTTTGGAAATCAATTTCGGCTGGAGTGCCTGAAGTAAACCACAACCAAAATCTGATGTAGCAGGACAGAGCTGCTAACGTTAGCCTAGTTAGCTGATAGTTCCCTCACAGTGACTGTCTCAGGCCTGAACAGGGATTTTTCCAACGTAACCTGAAACCCCACAAATGATATGATATGTGGAATGCCAAATGACCCTACCACCGTAGGTAGCAAGCTAGTTAGCCAGGCATGCTAATGTTTGCATGTCCTGTGAGTGGTAAAATATATAATTGTTTTTCTATTAGTTATTATAATAATGATGGTAATATAATACATTTTAAAATATATTTATGTTCTTATTTTAATTATTATGCCTGAATTATTATGCCTGAATTATTATTTTGTTTATCATGTTTATCATTTATCATTTATCATGTTTAGGATTTCAAATGTTTTTCCAATGTCTAGTATTCTTGGTATTCCTTCCTGTTCTATATGTGTGCATTAATAAAGCGTAAACTTGTTTTCCAGCTGCGTCCTCTGTCTGAGCTGGTGAAGGAAGTGCAGTGTGCAGGTTTGAAGAAGCTCCACCTGAAGAGAGCCACAGAGGAGTACCTGGCAGAGGAGCATCCCTGTCACTGCCAGCCCTGCCAGAACAATGGCCAGCCGCTACTGACGGGCTCCGAGTGTCGCTGCGTCTGCCGGCCGGGAACGTCGGGACAAGCCTGCGAGAGGGGAGCTGTGATTGGAGAACAACCAGGTAAACAAACACAATTCTGAAGGGGTAATGGATTGGTTAAAATGTTTAGTTTGGGTTCAAAATGCTAAAACAGGATTTAATTTAATTTTATATTCCGATTTATAAAAAAATGACAAAAGCTTAGATAGAAAATAAATAGAGCTAGATTCTAAGGGAACACCCACACACTAAAATAAAATGTCAAAAGAAAAACAGTGTAACATTTGTGATTTGTAATTTTGATACTTAGGCTCAGATTACTTTTCTTTCATCATTGGTACCTTAAGAACTATCTAAACTACAACTAAACTTGTCAATTTAAAACAAAACACCGATATTCGAGTTGGAAAGTTTACATTGAAGTTAATAGTTTTAGAATAATAATGCCAACACTTTGCAAGATTTGAAGATTTAATATAAAGTTAAAGAAAGGGTAAAAAAATGAACCTGTATAGTTTAACCAAGTTGTTCTAAACCCCTTTCATTTATTATATGTTACACTAAATGAAAAGTTCTTTATGATTTACCACAAAAGCAATAAAAAAGGTTCAAGGGGTCAAAACCAACTCTTTCACAAACAAGACAGAACAACAAAGATATTTTCTCTTTTTCTCTCTCAGGGGTGATCCATGGCAGCTGGAGCTGCTGGTCCTCTTGGGGAGCCTGCTCTGGAGGTCAAAGGTCAAGGATCCGAAGTTGCAACAACCCCGCCCCCAGCAGAGGGGGTCACCACTGCTCCGGCCCGGAGGTGGAACAGAAGCCTTGTGAAGACGCAGACATTGAGTATTTAAAGTAAGGACACATGTACACACACTGTAGCAGTAGAACAGAGATCTACTCTAACCATGTCCCTTATTAACCTCAACCAAGTCTTAACCCTAAAATGTAATCTTGCGGCAAACCAGAATTTTTACCCCAAATCATAATTTAAACAATTATACATACTTACATGGAGTGCCTGAAAATGTCCACAGGAGTATCCTTACTTCTTACAGCGTACTGCTACCCACGGTGAGCATGGCCATATCCACCACTGAGGTCACCCGGTCCCAGCCTCGGTTTATTTTTTGAGGAGTATAGAATAAAATTTGTGAAATAACTGCCTAAGAATAACCTTGCTTTGGTGCTTTAATACCTTTGGTCCTCTGTTGTAATAAACATATAATAATATAATATAATATATAAATGTATTGTTAAACGTCCTTGTTAAAACTGATTAAAAACAGTAAAAGGGCTATGGTTATGGTTAGGTTTGTGCTGAATGAGTGTTCTGGTTCAATTCAGGCACTGCTTGTTTCTAATTAGATTCTAAACAGTGATTTGAAAGTCACCAACTAAAGGTCCAGTGTGTAACATTTAGGAGGATCTATTGGCAGACATGGAATATAATATTCATAGCTATGTTTTCATTAGAACATAATCACAAGAATCGTTGTGTTTAGAATGAGATGTTTTTATCTACTGGCGGGTTACCTTTTTTGGCAGCTGCCTCGTGAATGGCCATGCTTCTACAGTAGTCTAGAAGGGACAAACCAAACACTGGCTGTCGTTCGCATTTTTCGCATGTTTCGTAGGTGCCGTAGTTTCTCCCCCATGTGCTTGAAAAGGGAGGGGGAAGCTGGTTTGTGCAACTACACCACTAGATGTCACTAATTCTTACACGCTGATGTCCTCGTAAAACAGTGAAATCTAGTCCATTATAAACTGTAAACTGTTTGTGTACAGGATGATGGAGCCTCAGTGCTTCAGTCTCTCTGTGACTCCACCAAAGAGATGTGGACCGCCTCCAAACCTCAGGAATGGATTTATTCAGGTGAGTTTGATTGATTGATGCTGTGTTTCTGTTTTTGGGATATTAGATAGTTGGGAAAAATAATGTTTTTTTTAATGATTCTGGAGTTTCTGTGTTGTTTTAGTTACTGTGTGGAGGGGATAATGAAGTGCATGTTACTGTATTTTATTCTCAGAACCCCAGAGATTTTTACCTGGTTGGAAACACAGTGGAGTACTCCTGCATAGACGGTCATTACCTCAGTGGAAACCCTATGGCTGAATGCACTGAGAACCAGGCATGGAGGACAGGAGCGATGGTTTGTAAAAGTACGGCTCCACTTCATTAACTCTGCCAGGGTGGTTATGTATTTGGTTCCATTGTTTGTTCATTGACAGGATATCAGATTTCCTACTTTGTCGTACTTAAAATCCCTTTCTCCTTGTCCCAGGTTCCACATGTGGGGTTCCTTTGCTGAATAGTGACGTTATAGCCACGCCCACCACAGCAACCTATGAGATTGGAGACAGAGTGTCCCTGTCCTGTCCTGCCGGGTCAGTGCTGGAAAGTGAGCTGTCAGAGATCATGTGCAGTTCCAGTCTGCTGTGGTCTCCTTCTCCAGCCAGCGCTCATTGTAAAGCCGGTACAGTACTCTTTTCCTCAGTATCAAATGTTATTGTTTAAAGCTTCTCACACACATTTTACTATTTGAGTATAAGTCCAATATTCACTCTCTTTTAGCTCTCTTTTTGGTCTCCACTAACTCCAGAGGGGCTCTTTAGCTGTTAAATGCTCCACTAAGTTACCAACCCGCTAGTTGCTAACTTGTCTAGGTAGCCTAAAGTTGTTTTTTAGAAAAAAAAATCTGTAAACAGCTGCCTATTGTGGCTAAAAACGACACTATGAGAGTGAACCAAAACAATTAAGTTGTAGGCCAAACCAAAACAACCAAAACAATGAACTGAAGTCGCTATAAAGCTCAGTCGATAGTGATAGTGGCAGAGTCGGGTTATATTTTGTTGAGGTTTGTCACACTTTCATATGCATGTAATGTTGTGTTTGTGTGAAGTATACACACCAATCCTGCCTCCTTTATTTTCTTCTCAGCATCCACAGCTCCCGCTCCTCCACCTGGCCTGAAGTGTAAGCTATGGGAGACTGTAGGAAAAACTGACTGTGTATGTAAGATGCCATTTCAGTGCTTGTGAGTATTTTTAATATTCATTAAATGATCGATATTTCTGCATTACACACAGGAAATGCCTGATCTAAGGTTTAAAAGTAAAAAATAAATAATATGTCCATATATTGTCTCTATTTAGGACGTCTCTGCAGTTGTGTGCCCAACTCGGCTCAAGCAGAACCCGTTTACTTGGAGTTTGTCAGCTAGGAGCTCTGAAGTGTATGGGCCGGAGCTTCACGTTGGCCAGTGACAGCGACTGTAACTGGCCAGACCAGACATCCACATCCTGCGAAGACTGCAAACCAGGGACAATCTGTCACGGTGAGTCTGCTGGACATCTTATAAAGGACAATCGTATTAATTCCAACTTCAGTTTTGAGAAGAAAAGAGAAGAATCCTTCAATTCTGTAATATGAGCATGTTTGTGACTGCATCAATAATCGTTATTTGTCAATCCTAGAATCGACAAGCAGATGCATGTGTCAGAACGTGTCAGAATGCCCTAAAGACTCCGCCCCCCTGTGTGTCAGCTCTGGGGCTGGCAGCGTTGCCAAGACGATGACCGAATGCGAGGTTGGGGCCAGAAGGTGTGCTGGGGAGCAGCTCAATGTGATCAGTATTGAGGCTTGTCCAGAATAAAGATGATTGTTGTTTTATTTTACTGAGCAGTCTCACATTGTATAAAAAGGAGGAAGTTGTGTTTTCTCAGTGACTGAATTGTAAATAGAAACAAGTACCTGAATGATGTTAATATGTTCCTCTGCCATCCTGTGGTGTCTTTTTTGTCACGTTGCGTGTAAATATAATTTTTCCTAAATAAATGCCTTTATTGTATCTTGTTTTTGTTTATAAGTTAATAAAAAAAAAAACACTTTTCAGACTACACTTTTGTCATTTTGATTTTGTTAACATATAAGTTATTTGAAGGGGTACATTTTCTAAATACTTGGTCACCCATCAGATTTAGGAAGCTGACAGTTCCTAATTACCAGTAATGAATTCAAAATATGTGTATTTGAAGATACTTTATATTCATTATAGAGTCAAAAATGTCTCTCTTTTATCGATTTATCAAAGAGCAGAAGAGACAGGTAGAGACAGGGATATAGCCCAGTTGTTATGTTTTTATAGCAGTGGTTCCCAACCTGGGGGTCAGGACCCCCACTAGGGGTCGCCAAAGCTTCACTGGGGGGTCGCAAGGATTTCTTGACTTTAAGGAAAATGTGGCTTTATCTCAGCATTTCATTAATTTCTGCGAAGGCAGCTAAATTGTTATTTTTAAAGTTTATGCTATTATTTAAGATATAAACCTGAACACGCGCTATATTCACAGAGCCTTCACTTCCTACTAAACAGCATCGTCATGCATCAGAAAAGCATTCACTTAAAACAACAAAGATAGCTAATAGAACAAGAAGGTCAGGGAGAAGAAAAAAATAATTCTACTAAGTATTTATAATTGAGTTATGAAAATACATAATACAGACAAAGAACTGCACATATACATTTATTACAAATATCAGGAAAACTCATTTCTGATGCAGTATTCACAGGATAGATCTGCTCATAATTCCTCCAAATTGCGCGTTTTACACAAACTTGCAGTTATTGCATTCAGTATTTGGGTTCATAGTACAGTTTATCAGTTTTTGTGTACTGTTATTGTTATGCGTTGAATATAATATGAAATATCCATAAAATGTGACATTTAGTCAGGGGCTGTGAGTTAACTCAATAATGGAAAAGGTTTTTTTAAAGAAAAAGTCTGGGCACCACTGTTTTATAGACCTGCGCAGCATTCAAATTTGGAATTCAAATGTCAACGTTATGAATAAGGGTTCGTAAAAATTTGATATAGGCTACTATGCAGGTATGCTCCATCATAATCAGCCATAATGCAGAATTTCAATTAATTTCAGAGCTCAATATTCTCTTATCTTCCAAATTCTGTATAGAATTATCTGCATATTACTGACAACCATGTTGTGGTATAGAATAATTAATTTTATAATGTGGAGCAACACAAGGAAGCATTTATTCAAATGGGTCCAATGATTCACCCAGCCTGCGGTGCACAGGTCATTGTTAATGTGAAACTTGGATGCTGTGTAGTGACAGTGCATCGCCATAACTAATCAAAGAAAGGATTATGTATTATTTTATTTATTTGTAAATAAAATAATACAAATTCAAAGTTTGAAAAATGTATATACTAGATACTGTGACTTACATTCCTGAAAGGTGAGCCAGAGGTACAGTGAAAACCTCCCTAATAAATAAAAGAACAGACAATGTTATGATTTTATGTTTTTATTATTACATGTGAAGCACATTAAGCATGTGTAAATATTTCACACTGGCTGTAATTAGACTGGCTGACTGCTGTTGCGGTGGAATATTACATACAGAGTACTGTTGGATGAATTCAGAGGAAAAGCTTTAGGGGGGATCATCTGGACTCACAGATGCCTTCATTGAGAATCTCAAACTGATAACTAGCACATTTAAGGGCAGCCAAAGAACAAAGGTTCATGCTACGAGTACTCTGGTTCCTGGTCAGCTTCACACAGAACATGCGCTCTTCAGATCTGGGGCAGTCCCGAGCAGCTTTGCACTCACACTTCTTCGATGCTGAGGACAGATGAGAGAAAAATAATTTGATGCAATATGTTAAGTCTTCAAATATTCAAACTTAATTTGTGTTCTTTATGTCGCCTAATGAAGTTTTAAAAATTATATCTGATAAATCAAGAATTCATGCTGACAAGTTTTGAGCAACAGCAAGTTCAAAATACAACCACCAAAGTGAGGATGACTTCAACATAACTGCAGTGAGACGTTCCAGCAAATCATCATGGGACTCTCAAAATGTAAAGGAACATTTAGATTCTTCAACAACAGGAGGATGTGCTCAGAAAGACTAATTTAACCATATTATTTGAGCCTTTTATATGGAAGTGACAGTTTATCTTACTCTGTGTAAACACCTATTACAGTTTGCTGAGCTGCTTTTGCACCCAAAACATTTAGCCATGCAGTGGATGACTATAAGTTCAGCATTTTTGGAAATGTGCTAATTCACTCTTTTTGGGAATACAAAATGCCGTTTTGGGAAGCTGATAATGCAAACTTTTGAAGCCAGGTTCCAGAGTGTAATCTTTTACCCTAACCATCGCCATGCAATTATGATTTTTTTCCTAAACAAGACCTTAGATTAGAAGATTGCTACCTTTCACATATATGTCCATAAAATAAAGATCTACAGCTTAGCTTAGCATATGCTAACCTTGGCCAGTCCACAAATGTATTATCAGAACTGAATATCAAACTCCAAACTAATTGCTCGTTGAGTGCATATGCCAAGACTGGCCACTGGGACAAACTGATAAAAGGCTGACTGCCTGCTTCCTTTAGGCGCCAATGTTGGTCTGTTCACACAATGTGCGTTGAAGCATAGGCTAGAGCTCCATGATTGGCTCGTGCTCTGGAACGTTCATTCTGGGATCTGTTCTATTTTTTCCATGAGGCATGAATTTGTAAAGAAAACACACTGATAATAAATTTATACATATCATATATTAAATAATCGCAACTGACTGCGCCCACTTCTTTGTGCTAAGCTAAGCTAACCAAGTCCTGGCTGTAGCTTTATATGGACAGATTGGAGAGTGGTATTAATCTTCTCGTCTGACTCTCAGCAAGAAATTAGATACTGTATGTGTATTTCCCAAATTGTCAAACTATCCCCTTAAAGTATATTCACTTAAGCTTTCACATGATGTAGATAATATGGTTTAACTTGAGATCGGTTTAAAATCAGTCTGTCTTCAGCAATTAAAGTCCTCTACTCCCATCTCCTGTTGATTCCATTATCTGTCCACAAGTTCCACAAATACCAAATATGTCACTGAAATTTGGAGATATATTTATATAATTATACCCCATAATGATGCAGCCATAAACCTTTTACTTTAAAGGGTTAATCACTTTTCAGGAGGTTGAACTGAGAAGTAAAGTCTTATTATAATCTATTAGAATGACAGCAAAAATAAGTCCTAGGTTGTAAAAAATAAACAAACAACAAACTGAATGTAAAAATGGCTAAACGTCAGACAAACTCACCAGAGCAGGTCTCCCATTCGTAACAGGTGTCATGTCCACAGGGCACCTGCACAGAGCTCTTAGAGGACATTTGGGCTCTGAACGTGGCCCACTCCAGTTGGGCTGAATTGTCTGCCTCGCACACGCCCTCGCTGACAAAGAAGAGCGGATCATTGTGGCAACGGCCAGCAAGGAAGGAGCAGATGGACATTGACACGGTGACACCGACGTCTATGTTCAGGATACAGAGTCTCTCTGGCTGTGAACTGTACGCACACGCACACACACACACACACAGAGGTCAGTCATCTGCTGGTAAAAATAATAAAACTAATGTTTTGCTTAGCTTTAAAGTTAACATAAATTAAACACTTTTTTATATACCACAATTCATGGATACAAAGTGCTTCACATAATAATAACTTTTTTTAAATGTTATGATAATAAGAAAAGCGAGAATAAAGTAATTCATAAAAACTTACAGGCAGCTGTCCCGTTGAATACAGACACACTGAGAGTTCTGTAGCCTCTCTCCTGGACGGCACTGTCCCTCAGGAACAAACGTGTCCTCTGCATACAGGAAATACACAGAAACACCTTTGCTGTATGTTTCATACAAAACAAAGGCCCCATTTGGGACCGTCCTGGATGCTTTCATTGAAAATTGTATTTTAATGGGACATGGCTATGTGCTGCTCCTTATCAGAAATGGGGAACCAGATGTGCATTTTCCAAACCAACCAGTTGGTCCTCAACCTTAAAGCATTCTTATCTCTCTTGTAAAAGCAAAACATGGTGTTAAGAAACACTGATGATAAAGTATAAATCTCAGGTTTTTGTCTTGTCGTAATTTTTTTTGGAGTGTAGAACAAGCTCACTGCTGTTACTTGTATCCTTCGGGGGAAAAACACCCACTACTCTACACTGCTCTCAGGCCACAGGGGACAGTGACAAGCACCTTTGCAACTTGCCGCACCAGAATGAGCCAAAGAATAAAAACGTACAAAGATGAGGTTTATGCTTTATTGGGAGCATTCATCTTCAAGGTTGAGGACTAAAGCTGCCAGTGTGCTTCTTCAGAACTGCTAGTCGCATGGTTGAATAAGTTTGAAATAAACGTTTATGGGAGCTGTTTACGACCATTTGTGTAATTTCCCAAAAATAATGATCCGACTTCTCTCTCTTGCTTTGTTTTGCTATTTCTGTCACTTCATGTGAACAATTGAGTGCAGCACTATACATGTCTTCCAGGAGAGACTGTGTGAAAAAATGTAAGTTATATCACGCCTTAAAGGCTCAATGGAATGGCAGTTAGGGTCCTTCTGTAATGGGATATTTCTGAGTGAAACAAAATATAATAATTCATTCAATAATCAAGAGAGATTTAATCAAATCAGATTTGATTTAGTCACTAAAAGGTGGATGCAGCTTTCGACAGTTAAGTGTCTGGAGATTCACATTGACTTGGAACTGTAGAGGCTTTACCCCATCCTTCCTTTAAACCACTGTCCATTATGAACATCTGGCATGTTAATGCTACACACATTTTAATTAAGATTCACAAATGTGTTTAACAAATGAAACAGTTTGTGATTAAACCATAACATTAGATTAATGTGTTCAATAAAAATGTCATGATTGCAAGAACCATGGGAATCTCCTTGTCTTTAAGATTTCCCTTGCGACACACCTTAATGTACTACTGGATGTGCAAAGTTTTTTTTCCCATGACTGCTAGAGCAATCTACTGTACCGTTAGTGCACCGTAGGTCAGCAGGTAAT